GCATGTTCCACTGCATCTGACATAAACCTGCAGTTAAAACAGACATATACTCATGCAAAAAAACTTCTTCACCTTACACTGACCAACAAAGAAATGGTGGGAAACTTAGAACAGCCCTAGACAGAAAAGTATTCAGCAATTCCAAAGCAGTGAGCCACGTCCTGTCTTCAAATGTAACCAAGTTGAGCAACAAGACCAAAATAAACACTCTTCATAGTCAAAACCATAAATGAGATTTAAGTTTTATTCATCAATATACAGAAACAAACACCAAAAATATGAAAAAAAAAAAATAGTATCAGGTAATTTTTTAATTTGCAGGTACATACTTATGGGGCTTTTTTTTTTAACTAATGTTCTATTCATCCATACAATTTCTTCCTTACCTGAGTGAGCCAAATGCTGGGAAGGATTCTAATGTAGGGACACTTCTGACAAAGATTATATAAAGATGCATTTCCAGTACTTGACATGATGTAAAAAGATCAAAATGTCCCCAGTACAAATGGGCACCTATATATTCAGCTTTAATGGAATGGCTGAAATTCGTCCTGCTTTGCTTTAATTCACATTTTCAAACATCTTCCCCAAGACATGACTTGCGGGTATTTTTTTTTTAAGAGAAGAATCTCTAGAAAACAGTGAGTACTCTACCTTACCAATGCTCACACATGCAAACTGAGTTATGTTTCCACTGGGACTCAACTACTCACTGGAATAAAAATTTACAGGATCACCCTTTTTAAGAGGACATTTAAGTGACACCAGTCCATCAGTTAGCAAACAATTCACTCTATAATAACCCATTTTCTCCTTGCAGAACAGAACAAAAGCATCAGATCTGAAACAATCCTAAACCTACTGCTTAGATTATTTTAAAAAAACCCAAATCACCCAAATCTACATTACATACTATTGGAATATAATATACATTGCTGAACACCACACCCCTCAGGTTTTGTTTTTTTTTCCCAGAGTTCTATTAACTGAACACAATGATCTGTATTCTCTTTGGTAAAATGTAAAGAGCACAGAGTTTGTCTTGAAAATATAGTTGTCAAATATCAAGGGGTATATATATGCTAACATTCACCCTAGGGGTATTTCAGGGCTAGACTCTGTTACAAATAAAATCTTTATTCATATGAACAGCTACCTGGGGGGCAATACTGAATGTTACACAGAATATTTATATATATATATTTAAAATAATCTAGCAGTGCTATTAAAGCAAACTGGAAGCTACACTGCATTTAGTCTCTCTGCTTTGCAGATCTGTCTCTTGTACTACTAACTTACTTGGGTCTCAATTACCTTCTGTAGAGGGCAGTCCCTAAAATATTAAATGCTGTTGTCTAGTGTGTCATACCAGCTGTTTTACTATTCAAGCTTAAAAGATTATTCATGGCAATGAAGAATAGTACTCTATAAAGAAAAGTAACCTCTTTTCTCCTCACTAAATTGTGCAACAGTGTTTTCAACTTCCCTTAAGACCAAAAAAAGGGCCAAAAAAATATTCTTTTTTTGGTTACGTGCTTCTAGAGTTACTGAAGAGCCATTAAGGGCTATGGAAAACAACTTGAGAGAAGATCAGACATCTACATTTATCAAAGAGTTTAAGCTGTCTGAAGCAAGTTGGGAGACAAAGCAGACAAGGCAGCAGCTCTGCAGACTGCCAGCAGTCTGAGGAGGTCACGTCTCTGCTGGACCTTCCTAATTTCTGGAATGAGGATGATAATATTCCTTCAACTGCTAACAAAACTCTGTAATGACTGGAAAAACTTGCCAGGAGAAAGGAGACAGTAATTCTGCCCTTTTTCAGTGCATTTCAAATGCTGTGGTTTGGAAGTTGCCACCACAAGGATGAAACTCTTTGTACTTGGGCAACGTCATGTGAGTCTCTGCACAGCAATTAAGAAAGCTCTTCAAAGAGCTCAGTCCTGCAGCTGCTGTACATCAATGGATCAGACCACTTCAAGCTTAGGAGCCAAATAAGCCACCTTTCAAAACTCTCCTCATGGCCTTCCAAGTTGGAGGGACTCCCCGCATGCCTGACCTTCCCCATTCATCAGGGCTTCTGTCCTCCTCTGAGGAGATGAATGAAGACATGAGCTGGTTTAAAGACACTGCAGAATGAAGCCATGAAAACAGAAACCCAACATTGCTCTAGAGAGACAGCACAGCCTCTGCCTCAGGGAACTAATGCAAATCTACACAGCGTTGTAGATACAATAGTAAGATTCTGATACCTTCCATAAAAGCTACATGTATTCCCCTTGATGGGTGTGGATATCCTCTGCCTGGGACAATTTTAGGTAGATCTCCTCATTCTTGCAGGGAAGCATCATCCTAACACACACCCAGACATCAGCCACACAGTTCAAAAGTTATCTTAGGTGCACTGCTCATTACCAGTTCAGCTTTAACTCTTGCTCATGGGAACACAAATTCGTCCTCCAATAAAAGCACTGGCAAGTTCATCACAAACTCTCTGGACACTGCAGTCCCCCAGTGAAACATCTGTGATCTTGCACTGCTTCAAAAGTACTTTTTAAGACTGCTCCTCAAGTCACTAAGCATCACTTGAAAACTAACAAACCTGCTTCCTTCCCATAGTCAGTTTAAAAGTATACATCATTTAAAAATCTATACATATATCAGTTATCCACATCAAAACTATGCCTCATACACACCAGTACCTTGAAATAACTGTTTGAAAAATTTGTTAATGTAGCTCTGTTACCTGAAGTGTCTGTACTTAAAATACTCATGACCTTCCTGTATTATTAAATGCACAAATAGAAAAGGTATTTTTGAAGTGTCACTTCTAAATCACTTCTAAAAGATATTTTTTATTCTACAAATAATGATGCAAATTTGGTATTTCCCACCACCTCACAAGAAGGCTGACACATGTAAATGTTTAATTCAAAACACACACTCCTGGCCATTTGCAATGAGAATTTTGTCTTCAACTACTACCTGGGAAGCAGATCTTTAGTTGTTACTAGCAGACTAGAAATAGAAGAATCAATGCTAATTTTAATCAGTGTTTTTTTCTAATAGGAGAGAGTAGTCAGCCTGATTAAGTTGTAGTCTGATGCACTTCTACTTTCAATTTAATAAAAATATTTGAAACAATCAATTAGAAAATAAATAGCAAAATGTGCAAGTAAAGTAGAAGGTACCTCTAATCAGTTTTCCTCTCAGCAGTCACATCAGCCCTTGTTCCTAAAATCTTACCCTGCCTGTGAGGCTAAGGTACACACTTTTTTTTTGTTTTAAACATCATATCTTTGTCAACTTTGACTGTTTCTGTCTGATCAAACCGTAGGAGCAACAGCCAAGGAAAAGCTTTCCTCTCTTTAAGATGTTCTATAGGTTAGATCAGATTTATTTGCTGTCAGTAAAGGTTATATTTGCACGTAACTCTACAACAGACTGCAATTTTATTAACTTCAAGTGAGTTTTCAAGCTGCTAGGTTGAGTTTTTTTATTGGGTGGTTGGTTTTTTGTAGGGCTTTGGGTTTCTTGTTGTCATTCCTTCCCCCAAGATTTGGGTTACTTGACAAATTGGAGTTAAGTTATCTTAGGTCAATGTAACTGTAAGTTAAACTAATGAAGTGTATGTCTATGAGTGATGTCTGATTAGTTTAATACAGTTAGTGCTGGACAGCTTGGGCTGCTGACCTTGAAGGAACACAGATAACGTTGCCATGCGTTGGAGGATGTGGTTGTGATACAAGACAAATTTACATAACAGTTTGTCATATACACTCCTCCAAAACAAAATTGTTGCAAAAGGAAAGCAATGGGAAACCAAGGCTAAACGCCTCGCACGAGACAAACAGGGGAGGATTAGTTGTAACATCTGGCTTGGGATGGCAGCTTGTTTTAAATGCAAGCCAGAAGCAGGCACAGAAAGGTGTACAAGCTTTATACAGCATGCAGTCCAAAATGGATTAGATGTTGTGTTGGGTAACACTGTCCAAACAACCTTCTACAGCAGAAGTTCTACTCTTTAAAAGTCATACTCCTTCCCCAGCTTGCTCCTGGTACCAAGGCCCAGTTCTGAGCTGTAGCTAGCTAGCATGTCGTCTAGGTGCACTCACAAGTCTTGCTGAAGATCATTCTGCAGCTGAAAAGCAGCTGCTGGGGCTAAATCATCCCTGAGCACAAGAGGCCTCTCTCCACAGAGGTGCAAAGCCAAGGGAGGGATGATGTAGCACCCCCATGATGCTGAGCTGCACGCCCCGAGCAGAGCACAGGCTGCACCACAGGCTGCTCAGGGCAATCAGCTCACCACATCTCAACTGATCAGGTAGGCCAAGCAAAACTGCTGGCTTTACAGACAGCTCTGCTCTGGGATGACTGATTCTCACTACACGATAGCTATCTGTTGACCTAAACATTCTGCTTTTATCAGGCCAGGTTTGGGCTGATAGAAGTTTGTCACTTACATAAATGCATAATTGACATCCACAGTTGTTGGCACATTATGGAACTGGACTATCACCGAGATAAAACTGCTCCAGGTCAGCCCAAGGAGGACACTCTGATTATCAGACTTGCTAAGAGATAGAGCAGTGGGCAAAGTGAGGAGGCTTCCAGCATTCACATCTGTGCCAACTCTCAACCTGATCTCTACAGCACAGTTTAAACCTTGTTTATTTTTTTTATTAGTGTATTACTAAATTCACTTGGAAAACTTAAGATAAAACTACATATAAACAGGTATCCATACACTTGCACTCTTGGAGACTTTCAAGGACTACCAATGCAAGACAAAATAGTCTAGCACACTCTAAATCATGGCAGAAGTTTCCTGAATACACCCCAAGAAGTCAATGCAAGAAGACAAAACTTGTATTGTCCATTGCAAGTCTCCATCTGCTTGCACACACACCTTGCATGCACCTAAGTGAAAACTCAGCTCAAGACAACCTGGCTGAAGGCCTCTCTGTAATTTGAGTTTAGCAATGATTCAGCTCCTGGGTTACCTGTAATTAGCACTCGTTGGCACAGTTTGCATGAAATAAAGAGCAGCAGTTCGTGCTTTCCAGTGCCACTTCTTGGCAGGGAGTGTACAGAGGACACAGTCATCTCGTAGCTCTTCCTGGAGAAGATCCATCAGCTGCTTGTGGGAACCACCATAAAAGGCTTCAATGAGAAGAACACTCATTTTTCCAACCACTTCAGAACAGTTTGGATTCTGAAAATGATAAAGACATTTTACTTCAGAAACACATTTTTTTTTTTAATTTAAAAAAATTATATTGGTAAAGGCAGAAACATATTGCAAGGCCTTACAGTGTATTCTTTTTTCCCCCCATGAAATTAATTCTTCATATTGTATTAATGAGTTTACTTCAGAAAAAGCTATTTAGTAATTATGATGACAAAATTGCCACACCTAATAGTTTCGAACAATAAAAGATACCATTTAGAATTTTTAAATGAATCAAGATTATTTAAAACACCATATTTTGAATTGTCTTGGTTTCAACCAAATACTTAAAAGCAGCTTTACTTTACACACTCACTTTTAAATATATACAAACCTTCCATAGGTTAGGAAGCAGTTTATAACATAAGTTATCATTTTTTTACATAAGTTCCCACACAGACCCCCCTTTTCCTGACAGTAGATAAAACTAAAGAACAACTCAAACACACTTCAGCCCCTGGGTAAGTGATCTAAAGCCAGAGAGCAGGAGATGCAGCCTGAGTATCCCCCAAGGAGTCTCTCCTGCATCACTGGGAACTGGGATCACCTAAGCAACACGCTCAAGCCCTACAGGAGATGTAAACCATGCTATTTTTTTTAGAATACTCAAAAAAAATATGGTAGAGAGCAGTGTCACAGGCTTAAGGTAGCTCTGAGATGAGAAGCCACAGAGCTGCTCACAAACAGGATGCAAAACATGCTGCCCAAAGTGAAGGGAAGGATGAAAACCCTGCGACTATTGCTCATCAATTCATGAGTCACGGGCTTGGGGGTGCTGAAAAGCTGCTTTTCAGATGATGCTTTGCACGAAACCTTCACCTACAGAAGTCCAAAGCTGAAAGGTAGCCACCACCCACTGCCTCTCTGATGGGTTTCCTTCTCAACTTGCCCCAACAAGGGAAGACCCTCTTAACCTTTGCTCAGGCTTCGTGTTCGATGCAGTGTATTGCAGCACTGTACATCTATTTCCTGACCTGTAATTTCTAGTGGTTTCACACTGTAATCCTTATCTTCTCAAAGTTTCTGATGACAAGAAGTGAGATTTCAACAGAGCTACATACTCTCCAGAAAATCTCAATCAACATCTCAACTGTGAAATTTAGTTAAATTCAAGTTCAGGTTAAGAAATATGATTCTGTATTCTGTGACCAGAGTGTAGAAAGCAAACAAACAAAACCACCTTACAAGTGCACTGTAGCTGTCAAAAGATCAGGTAGCCAGCAACAAAAATCCAGAAAGTGAATAAATTTAATTGAGATACCAAATGTAGGAAACATTAGAGATAGCTTTGAGTCGTTGGCCCATCATGGTGGAAGGTGAAGTGGCAACGTAGAGCTCCTGGGTCATTACAGACCAATCAGCAAGCAAAAAAGTGTTCCATGCTCCGACTTTCTTGCCATAAACCAGCATGGATTTGGGGTATACTTTTGCTCTATTATTCACTCCCTCACACTGTTTCAAATAAATTTGGGGGGCAAAATTGTCTTTTCAAGCGAAAAATGAAAGCCTTCTGGAAGGAAAGACCTCATTTTGGAGCTTGCTTCTTTTCAGGCAGCAAAGCAGATTCTCATCTCTTTTCCACTGACCTAATTCAAAATAAAAATAAATAATTCTTAAAAAAAAAAAAAAAAAATCACACTTTTGAGATCACTGATGTTTTCTGAATTTACAATGATGTAACCAAAATCATACTCTCTCCTCCAAAGCCCTTTTGAGTCTGCAGGGTAATAACTGCTATAAAAACACAAGCTGTGGTTTAGAATCTGCACTATTCACCTAAAGAACAATTTGTAATTAATCATGCTACACTTGTCATCAAAAGTCTCTGAAAAATTTAACTCGAAGGACTAGAGGGAAGCATTTTGCAAATTCAGACCCTAAAAGAAAAAAAGGGGGCACCTGAGAAGTGGTTAAATGCCACTGCGTCAGTCACTCGGGGAGAACGAGCTGCCGTTAATTGATACCAGTAATAAAGTAATTTGCTGATGAAATATCTGATCAAACTGCATTTCATCAGACTAGTTCTGAAACTGGTTTTATCGCCAGGTTTAGCTGAACTGGCAGCATGCTCCTGGGTTTTGTTTTGCAACAGTTTTCACTGCACATCCCTTCTAGGGACAGAGAATCTACATGCTGACAGCAAGAGGCTTTTTCACTTCTCAGGTTTCCTCCTTGCTTAAAGATCCTGATATTTAGGTTATTCTGCATTTATCCTACCTTTAGATCTAGCACTAAAAACATGTGATGCAAATATTGCACAAATATTGCCACCCAGTAAACTCCTTTTGGCTACTTACACTGGGAACCTGAGTTGAAATTGTGGCTGTATGAGGGGCAGATGGCTCTTGCCATGCAATTCTTCCCAATAACACTCAGAGACCCCAGGGCAGGAGCACACGAGGGTGAAAATCAGCACTGATATTTTTCAGAGATGATCTGAAGCTCTAAAGCTTGCTTACAAAACTCTCACTCCCCCCAAAATTTAGGTGATAGCCTTTAAAATCCTCATCAGCACTTGTAGGCTTCTAGTATCTTATGTTCTGTATCTACTGCCACCAATACACATCAAATGCAATAAAGTGAAGTTTTGAAAACTTTTTAATTTTTTTTTTAAATGTTGAAAAAAAGTGTTATTTAAGAAGTATACGTTATGTTTTGTTCGTTGCTTGCCTTTTTTTGAGGATGCTACCTAAATATGAAACTGCTAAAGAATAAAGGCAGCACAATATATATCACGTTGACTTCAGAGGTTGTCTAAACTGCAGCAATGAAAAAGTCAATAAATCTTCTGTTTTAAAAAGATATGCTGATAATGCAAAGGAAATTATATTATATATAACTAATAATTTGATGTATTTAAAAGAGGCACAGAGGAGGTAGGACACAGTCATTTACCTCATATTTCACCCACATGACTTCCAGTTTTGTTCACACACAAAAATAACATCTATTATTTTTTCTTTATTTCCCTTGACCTCACCAAGTGAAGGTAAATATGTAGCATATACCCCTCAGAGGTCTCAAAAAGACACAGCTGATAAATGGCCTGAGAACATTCACCGTATCTGATGGAATGCAATCCTCAATTAAATATAAATCACTCCAGGTATTCTTTTTCCCATTTCAAAGAAAACAACAAATATTAGAAAAACAGACCCACTTCCCCTTTCTCATTACAGCGCTTCCTCTCTGGAGCCAGCGATCCTGGGTGTTCCTCCACCAGCTCCAGCCCAGCCCCAGGGCTGCAGCACCCCGTGCTTTCAAACCCTGCTGCTCTGCCCAGGCTCTCTCTACAGCACATTCCTCAACACAGACACTAATAAGAAGCTCCCCAAAAGGAGAAAATTGTTCCAAGCGGTGCCAAAAATGGCATGAGTAATACAGAGGTAGACTGAAGAACTGAGGAATGTAGAATCATAGAATCATTTTGATGGGAAGCGGCTTTTAGGATCATTGAGTCCAACCATTAAGCCAGCAGTGCCAGGTCACCACTAACCCATGTCCCTCAGCATCATCTCTACGTCTTCTAAACGCCTTCAGGGATGGGGACTCCACCCTGGGCAGCCTGTTCCAGGCCTTGACAACCCTTTCCATGAGGTTTTCCCTCACACCCAACCTAAACCTCCCCTGATGCAACTCGAGGCCACGTCCCCTTGTCTTACCACTTGTCACTTGGGAGAAGAGACTGACCCCCACCTCGCTAGGTAGGTAATTAGGTGCTGTCTCAAAGCCAGCATCTCACAGTAACATTCCCTCAGGACTTCTGTCCTTTGCTCCAGCTCTGCCATATGGCGAACACGTCGCAGAGAAAGTGGTAGGTGATGGAGTCTAACTGGGCCAACTGCTGTTTGACCAAATACTTTTCCTTTAGAAGAAATTCTGAGTACTACTCTGAGTAATGAATACATATTTTCTTTAATGACATGGAAGAATTGTTTGGCTAGCCACAGAAACCAGGACTTGTTTTTAATTTCTAGGTGAACACCAACTAAAGTATTTTAGATAACTAACCAAGGTAGCGAAAAAACCCTATTTTTCATGATTTATTCAAGAACACAAGTTCACTTTGTCTTATAAACAGAAGTGTGGTTTCACCAACACCAGCACAGCTCACATCAGAAAGCCATAATTAGCTCCATTCTTTGACATATTCATACAACATAAATTACAGTTCCTGTTAAAGTATCTGTCCAACAAAACAGTCGAGAGACAATCCAAACCCAAAGGAATAATTATTAATATATTCCATAAGGTAGAGAGCTGCTATTAGTTACAGGAAATAAGGTATATGGTTTCAGTAATGATGGTTTTAACCGTCACAGTCCCACACGTATGAGAAATTTATTCCACCACCATATCCAGAGCACACATGGTTCAGTGTAACTCAACCGACTACAAAACCCATCAGGTACCTGCTGTGGACGTATCTGAGAACCTTTAGTGACTTCAGATCAACACATTAATACCCAATACAGGCAAAAGCTTTCCAGGTTCCACATTCCCCTAAAACCATGATTTTCCACAGGACTATTCCAGGGTCTTGGCTGTTCCACCTCTGCCCCTTCTCCCTCCCGACACGCACCCACCTGAGGTGTGGATGGGGTGCATCCATACACACAACCCCTGACTGAGAGAGCCCGTGCTACCCTCCCACTCAGGGCAGTGACTCATCGAAACCCCCAGAGCTTTTAAACACAATCACATCTTAATCCTGACCAAAACTTAACTTGTATTGAGATCACCCAAAAGTACCGTCTCGAAGGTTTGTCATTACTGAACTCTGAGAGGGCACAAAGCGAGAACGCCACTTGATTTATCTTTTATATAAATCAACAGGAGCAAGTTCAGAACTTCTCTGCTTTGAGAAGGCAGTAAACCAACATTCTTCACCTTTATTTGGATGTCTGCATCAGCACAAATATTAAAGCACTGGTGAGAGCCCTAAACCACAGGCT